TTATAGTGAATCGATATATTATATGAAATATTAGTAAATATCACCAAATTTTAATGATGGTTAGACATGATTTATTTTTTAAATTAAAATAATAATTATAAATGAATATAAATAATAAATTTGATTAATGTAATTTAGAATACAGTAAGTAATGATTTGTGTGAACTTGGTAAATTTAATAATTTCTCTCACATAAATAATTTGTTAATACAACTTATGTTTTTGACATGTGGGGGGTAGGTTTTTTGGTTTGTTCATACAAATGTTTATAATCATAGGAGATCAGGGTGGGCATAATTGGGCATTTGCGGTCATTGCTATAATGTATTGTCTATGGGAGCTAGCGTTGTCAGTCTACTTTTTAAGCCTATTTGCGCTCTCAAGCTTAAAATCATAAGAGATCAAATAGGCATACAAAGTAGACTAGCAACACTATGCTCCCATAAAACATACATTATAGCGATGCCCGCAAATGCCCGATTATGCCCGCTCTGATATCCTATGCTGATAATGCATTTATTTTTAATGTTTTGATATTTATATGTTATTTCTGCTCTATGATTTTGAAAAACAGTGTTATAGATTTAAATAATTATTGAATCACAATTCACATATGAAGAGTGTGGTTTCTAGGATCGTGTGGTCCCCTCTTTCCCCACACTATGGGATTTAACATGGTATACTAGCTTAAGGCTATACTTTAACTTGGGAATAATGTTATTCCATTGGTAATGTTTATCCTATGGGACTAATATTAAATCTATGACATATAATAGTTTTACCAAAGGTAATGATAAAGCTATTGGACTAATGCTAATCTTATGGACAATCTCTATGCCAACGTTAAGTCTATTGAGACGACAAATCTATTGTGCTAATTTTAAATATGTAGATAATGATAATATATTTATTGAATAATACCCGAATTGTGGGTCACGTGTAGCGTCGCTGTGTAAACCTTGTTTGTAAACAAAAGAAATTGTAAGCACTTGTTGCCAATAAAATTAGTATACATAAGAATGCAAAAAGGAGTTTGCGCAAAAATAATGGTTCAAATGCCAAAAATTTTGCATTAAAAATTTTGACCATAATTTTTATTTTACTAATTCAATTAATTTTGTAATTACAATTAAAATGTTAATCCTATGGGATATTATTTTCTATGGGAAAGCAAAATATGAAGATAAAGGGTAGTTTTTCTCCATGTTAATCCTATGAGACTAATGTTAAGTCTATGGGAGAATGCTTTAACATGGGTTTCCATGAGACAACAGCTTAAGTCTATAGCGTAGAAATAACATGGGTAATGCTAAGTTTATGGCATAAGGATAACATGGATAATGCTAAGTCTATGGCATAGGGATAACATATCTATAGATAATGCTAAATCTATGGGAGTAATGTTATTTCAATGGGATAATGCTTTCTCTATAGAGATATACTAAATGAATCTGCCATAATAAATAAAATTAATTCTTGTAAAAAACATTCAAAATTCTTAAAATAACAATAATGAAAGTATTCCAACAATAGTATTGAAAAATTTAAAATCTTTAATGTATTTCCCGAATTGTAGTTAACGTATACAATGTAGCATCGCTGTGTGATCCTTGTTTTCTCAATAACTTTTCTAATTTAGTCTGAATTTGAAAATTCCTTCAGAATTATATTCCTCTCATTCATACCTTTCTATCGATATATTATATTATATACTTATTCATAAATTAAAATATTTTATTTTAAAAATTTAGCCGATAAAAGTGGTCACTAAGGCCACACCCGAGGTCGTCTGGCCATATTAAATATATCAGTCAACTCTTAACATAATATACTTTTTTTTAAAATCACTATTAAATGTCAAACTATGTAGAAATATAAAGTTCTTTACAAATGAACTCGATACACAATTTGTTAAGCAAAAGCTTATTTTATAATACAAAAATGAGTTACTAAATCGAACAAGTAGTTTAGTTTTAATTTAACTTATAAATCATACACAAAATTACACAATAATACGTTTATTGGTTTTCAAAAACAATAGAAAAATAAAACCCGATATTTAATTATGTTATTGTTAATTAGAAATTTTAATACATTTAAATATACAAATCATTAAACTATATCATATAAATTAATTGTTTCCATAATAAACAATACATAGTCAAGGCATAAGCAATTTTAACAGTCAAATATATAATTATGTTACTTTTAATCAAAATATTATATATTTCTACATAAGTTAAATTTATTTAAAATATTTTTGTATGATATATAATTTTTGTATAATATCTAAATAATTACGTACAGTTTATGACCAAATTATCATATTTTTCATGTCCCGTCGTTTGTTAGTTGTAAAAATAGTAAAAATACTTAAGTCCATATCACAACCATGATAATATTATTGGCCAAAATAAACGCTATCGATCTGGTCGTATAATTGGAAACGACGGGTGATGACCGTCCAGTAGGCCACACAGGTATTAGCCCTGAAACAAGCGTCCACATAGCGTGTGAGGCCCGGTATGCGCAACGCCCGTAGCTGTTGCCCGTAGTTGTGCGCCCGTTGCCACCCGGCGTGCGCTTCGCCGACCGTGTGGTCCACCGCTTCCTGAATAGTCATACCCTCTCTGGCCATCAATAGGTACACGTAGTTAAAGCGCGCTTCGCCGCCGAGCAGCTCTTTTTTCAGCGACAACAAGTCATGTATAATGAAGGCCTGATTGACGAGCGCTATTAGGAATGACCGGTACAGCGGGTGCTCTGCCATATTGTCGTCGATGGGGTCGTAATCGGCGCACAATTCGCACCAAAGAAACGCTATCTTTCCCGGATCTGATCTGCGTACCAAGTACAATTTTATTAGTTTATACATATGACTAACAAGTGATTCTACCGAGTGCTATCAGCTAAAATCAATCGAGTTATGGCAAAATTTTTAAGCATCTATTCCGTGCGTAACGTATTGTATAAGGGTATTCACAAATAAACCGGATTTTTAAATATAGTCATGTTTAAACGATTGCCAAATTTTTTTGGTATATGCCATCATATTGATTTAAACGCTATTTTATGCACTCATTATTTCTCTTTAATTTCATGTATAAAAAGTTCTAAAATTATTTCAAGTAGTAATAATTTCACCCGAAAGTTATGGTATCGATAACATTGAAAAATATTAACTATTTTTGTTTTAAGCACTAATAAATAGACTCACAGTTATAATATATAGAACTAAATCACTGTATTGGATATCAACCAATGATATGAATTGCTCAAAAGTTTTAAATCAGGTGTTTATAACCTTAAAGATCGCACCCGAACGGCCCGACACCGGGAAGTGGCCAATCGCGTGCCAAAAGTGCGGGTTGTGTACGATCCGCGATTTTCCCACATGGAATTGTTGGTCAACTTATACTTATACTGGAAAATAATTTTTGACCATTTAAACCCAAGTGGACATTTTTTAGAGCGTGTAATTGCATACATGTCTAAAATATGCCTAATTTTGGCCTATTTTTAGACCATAATTTTCAGAAAATTACATTAAAAAATTCTAAGGCTTTGGCCGACAAGTTCTCTTACACCCACCATATTCTCCTATTATTCAACTATCACATGTCTTTTATGATCATTCTCTGCAGTCATGTTTTGGTGATAAAAATTGCAAAACAAAAGTAGTGGTTGAAATTGACTTCACTCACTTTGTTGCTTCACAGAACCGCCATTTCTATCGGGAAATAAATGAAACTTTGTACGATTGATGCCCAATATTTGCCAATTCAATAAGAAATAAATGAAACTTTGTACGATTGATGCCCAATATTTGCCAATTCAATCGGCTATTACATAATTTGAAATAATTGCTTGCTTCATAATTAAAAAATAATTTTTAATTTTTAGTATTGAAGTCCGGAAATATAATGAATGATCTTATATATAATTGATGGTAAATTAAGTATTGCTATAAAATCGCCGTTAATTATCAATGGTTTAAATCTATGTAAATTGTTTGCAATATTAATAATGTGTAACACAATCAGTGATAACAATATGAATGACCAGATGTGGTGATCAAACGGTGCCAACAGTGATGTCATATATATTTTTTTCTCAAATACCGGTGCCGTAAATGAAAAGCCTTCAATCATATAGGGATAGCTGTATGTAATGGCTTGCGACCGATCCCATGTCATACTTATAGCACCGATACCTAACTGTGATCTCTTATAGATTACAATAATGTAATTGTAGTTATATTTATGTCATTATGAATTGATGTATACCTTGTTATACACTTCACCCATCAGTCCATTCCATGTATTATTTCCTATTTTGTTACCAAAATTGTGATTACAGTCAACCAAACGGTACGTAAAATTGAAACATTGACTTAATGTCCGCAATAACTGTCCGTCGATGCCATCAATGGCTTGTGTTTTATCAGAAATATATTGTTTAACGTTTGACATAAATGGCAGGATCTAAACATGATCATTTATATTTTAAAATAAATTTTTTAAAAGTATAAACTCAGCTAAATTTAGTTAAGACAAAATATCTACCTCATTTGTGGCAATTGACAATTGTTTGTTCATTATACCGTACAAATGTTACTAGAATGGTAGGCTTGATCTGCAGTTTTTCCCTCAATACACCGTTTATTGGGGATTGCAATGACATACAGTATAACCTCAGTACACATGCCGTTTTATAATTAATACTTTGAAATGTAAAAATGTTTTTTATACAGTTGGAGACAGTTAAGACTAGTAACAACATGTACAGAAAATAAAAGGATAAAGTTTTGTGTTAATGGGTAAAATGCTAAAAAGGACTATGCCCATTCGTGTAATATAACTAAATATATTATATTATATATCAATAGAAAGGTACGGATAAGAAAAATAATATTCTGAAAGAATGATAAAATTCGGACTTAATTAAAAAATGTTAATTAAAAAATTAAAAATTTCTTGACAATTGTATACGTTTTTATGATGAGTGGTGTAATTATTTTACTCTTTTCTTATCAATTTTAATTGCATTTACATAAATGATTAAATTACTAAAATAAAAATTGGTCAAAATTTTAAATGCACAGATTTTGGCATTTTCTCCATTATTTTTGCGCAAACTCCTTTTATAATTAATAATAAATTTTTTAATTTGCGAAATTAATTATCATTGTAAGCATAATTGAAATTGATATAAATTATATACAGTTATTACGTTATTCACTATAAAACACGTGAATAAGTTACAAAATTTTTAAATTTTGATATAACCTTTACCGATTATGTCAGATTTGGGAAATACCTTCGGATTTCAATTCTACTCATCAATTCCTTTCTATTGATATATAATATTATATACTTATTTATAAAATAAAAGATTTGATTTTCAAAATTTTACAGATAAAAGTGGTCACTACGGCCAGACCCGAAAGCATATGGACATATGCAATATATCATTCGACTATTTATTGAATGTACTTTCATTTTATAACAATAATTCCTAAGTGCATTATATTACACGAATGGGCATAGTCCTTTTTAGCATTTTACCCATTAACACAAAACTTTATCCTTTTATTTTTTGTACATGTTGTTACTAGTCTTAACTGTCTCCAACTGTATAAAAAACATTTTTTACATTTTAAAGTATTAATTATAAAACAGCATGTGTACTGAGGTTATACTGTATGTCATTGCAATCCCCAATAAACGGTGTATTGAGGGAAAAACTGCAGATCAAGCCTACCATTCTAGTAACATTTGTACGGTATTGTATTTCATGACTACAATATTAACAAAATTATAGATTTATTAACAAATAGGATAAATTTTCAATTTATTTTATTACATAGATTTTTAAAAAACTATAATAAAATGTTCATTTAATGCTTAATTGATATTTAAACGCAATATTTATTTAAAATAACGATAAATTATTTTACATAAATTTCATAACATTTGATTGTAAATAATGTTCGGATATAAAGTACTTTATATACTTAAATATTAATATTATTATTATACATAACACTGTTGAGAAAAATTGTGTTAATCAATAAAACATTTATGACAAAAGCAAGTATTGTTTAAGTTGTTAATACATGAAATAATTAATAAATTAATTGCTAAATTGATCAAACCATTTCGCGTGACTTGGGATTATAATTAATTCAAATATTTTATTTATTATTAAAATAATAATCACAACTAATATTAACTAAAAATATCTTTGTTTTAATTAATAGCAATTAAAATGTACAAAACAACATTACCAATCGCATTTGTAATCATAATAACACACCATATAATCGTCGCCCAACCGATCGACACATTAGATTCTGTAAATATATTTTATAAAAATAAAATAATTACAAAACATTTTAATCACATTATAAACAACAGACAGATTTAATTTGTTTCACGGAAACGCCCAACGCTTTTGTCAAAACACAAGACAACAGTTATTACCTATTTTTCAATCAATACTTTTGGCAAATGGTGTTCAACGACACGACCGACGAGTTTACTGTCCAGACACCGGAGGCTTCACTGGTTAGCCAATACTGGCCACAACTGCCCAATGATGTGGACATTGGGTTTACCGTCGAGGAGTCGGTTTACGGCAATGCAATCGCTGGCCACACCTTCTTCATCAAAAACGAGACCTATTATCAGTACCGTAATCGTCGGTTTGTGGGCACCGGTAGTATCGAGTACTGGACAACCGGCAAATCGGCCCACGAGTGGCGATACGTCGCCACCACTAAGGACTCGGCGCTCGTATTGATCAACACTAGACTGGCGTTGAATATCAAGTCCAGCGGCAAGACTTACTATTTTGACGATCCAGATTATCCAGGTAATTATTGTCAAAGAGTTTGTTTTTAATGTTATTAAACTAATTAAGTTCAATTAATTATTTGGCAAATTAACCATGGTTGTTTTTTTTTGTAGAATCGTTGGACTCATATCACGGTCTCCGGTCAAACATACCGTGGAATCACTTGCGGTCACTCTTCCCGATCGCCAACACAACCAAATACATGGCTTTACTCGCGGTTCACGGAAACGGATTTTACTGTATTTTGCATAACTATGAGAGTGAGGTCTGTATTAGAAACTGTGGCTACAGTCGAACCCATGTTTTTGATTAATGTTTTAATTTAAATAATTGTGTTTTCAGTGCAATTATAAGCCGATTCATCAGATGTTTAACTGTTCGTCCCATATATTGCTTGTGAAACAAAACGATTGGATTTATTGGTTGTGGCGGACGACTAGGTTGAATACTCATGAAATGCTCATGGTCATTTCTGGTGCTATTTTAGCCGCATTTCTTATTAATTGTCTTCTTTTTCTCATATCAATTAATAGATATGTAGAAATATCTTGAAATTATTAATTATTGTGATTTAAAATGATACTATTTGTATTTTTAACTATAATATTTGTTATGTTTATTAATACTCTCAAAAGTTTAATTTAAATATTATCAAATTTATGTTTACTTTAATCTTATTTATTTTATTACTGCAATATTTTCAAAATTTAATTTACTATCGGTTATAATGTAAATAATGAGTGAGTGAGTGAGAGAGAGAGAGAGAGAGAGAGCGAATATGAAAACTTTATAATTATTATCACAATAATTATGTAATCTATAGAGTCTATAGTATAGACCTTCAATAGCAATAATAAGTAAAATGTAAACATTAAATGATTTAAAATTGTTTTAAAATTATTTTATAGAAATTATAAATTATGATTTATGTAGGATGAAAACATAATTAAATAATTTACATAAGTGTTTACATCTAATAAATAAAATATTATAATTAGTTATAATTTACAAAAGTATATGCAATGAACGGAAACTATTTATTAATCGCTATAATAATATTTTGTGCCAACAATTTATCATATATGTTATGCCTAACAATCAGTTCGTATTAATACTATGTTTAATTGTATTTATTTAATAAATAACAATATTTTTAATTATTTCTATACCACATTAGAAGTAATTCTAAATCTACCAACACGTTTTATAATAATTTTATTTGTTAAAATGCCAAATTAAGGTTGTAATCAAACATTGACGAGTGACCATGATAGGATAACATTTGTAGACAACGACCCGGTTGACCAAGAATGCTACTGGGGCATTCAAGTGACACCTGGAATGGTCATAGCGCTAACCATCGAGGTACGTTACGCAAGAAATGGCCTTGATCAAATTATTATATACGATGGTACATCTCAATCGGATCCAGTACTGAAATCAATTGTTACTTTTCCACACGTTACCAACCACGAGATAATTTCCACACAAAATACCATGTTTGTTAGTTTTGCTATTAAGCGTGGCCCCAGAGATTTAGTTACTTCTTTGTTTACCTCGTCCTATCGCGCTATAGATATTAAATATTCTACTTTCAAAGCTAGTAAGTAATATTGTAAAGACTGTTGTAGTTAATAATAATAATTAATTATGATTGTAACAAATATAGATTGTAACGAAACGTTCACCGATAGCAAGGGTGAAATAAGCATGGTCAGAGATATAAGCATAAAAACTAGATCGTTTGTATGCTACACATACATAGAGGTAGCGACAAATATGAGCGTGCTGCTAAAATTCAGGGATTTTTCCACTGACAATAGTATGGATAGCAAACAAATAAGCACACTATCTCTGAGAGTGTATGATGGTCATTCTGCCCACGATAAACTATTGCTTACTGGTAACTTTATGGACACAATCGATGATGGTGAAATAATTTCGTCGACAAACACCGTGTTAATTGTATTCAGACATACTAACATATCAGCTAGCTACAAAAATTATGCATACATTAAGCCTAATTTCAAAATTAATTACCAAGCTATCAATTACGGTTAGTAGAGTTGAAACAATATATTGTAACAAAATTACTTTAATGAATTTTATTTTGCTTTATAAGGTTGTGGTCAGTTGTATATAGAAAATCAGGGTTATATTCATAGCCCCGGGTATCCCCTTTCATACCCTAATAGTATACTATGCGAGTGGACAGTACGGGTGCCGCGAAATCATACAATTATTGTGCAATTCATTGACTTTCGCACCGAAGAGAGTGATTATCTGACAATTATATCCAATTCAGAGACCCATAGATATAGTGGTCTTAAAAAGCCATCAAATCTCCTGACATCTGGAAATACAATGAGTTTGTTATTCAAAACGGACGGCACTATCGTTGAGAGAGGCTTTAAAATTGCCTACAAAGCCGTACCACTCGGTTCGTAACACCATATTTAACATCATGAACGTTTGTTAATGTTACTATTTCAATTCTATGTCAAATGTTTGAATTAGATACGGGCTTGACATTTGTGATATCCGCTGATAATGCCTTATTGATGGCTCACTCGAGTAGCACTAAATTACTCGCTATGAATGGGGACCGGATGTCAGGCCTAATGGATTACGATTCAACTGGCAATCGGTTTGTGTGGTTTGATCACAAGAAACGGACATTTATTTTACAATCATTTAATGAAAAACATGACATTCCTATCGGCGATGGAGAGCCTAACAGTTTGGCCGTCGATTGGATCCATGACTTACTGTATTGGTTGGACAGTAATAGCAATGCTATTAAAGTATTAAGTTTAGGGGACAAATCTGAATTAATATATACTGTTCATGAAATACAAGCACAAAGTCCTAGAGATCTGGTGCTAAACATAGTGACCGGTGCTCTGGTTTGGTCTAACGTTGGCTTTGAGGCCAATATAATGCAACTAAATTTAGATACCGATCAGCCACTAGTGCTGTACTCTTCGGGCCGACACGCCATGCATTTGACAGTAGATTACGGATCAAAACAATACTATTTCATCGATAGGACCGACCATTCGCTGTATTCCATAGACTTTTGGGGCAAAAACGAGACGTTTATTGTGAAATCCGTGACACTCTTTGACCCAATCGTATCCAGTCTTCAAGTCTTTGGCAATGATCTGTATTTTAATCACGAGTTTTTTCTCTATCGGATACCGGAAATACAGTTGGGTATAGAGAGGGCACATGTAGTTTACAAAATACACAGAGTTGCCGCTTTATTTGATGACGATTTATTTTTTATGACCAACACTATTGACATCAATCGGCGCGAGTTTAACACGTTTAAAATTGTCAACCAATCGCATCAGCCCAGCGTAGGGTTGGCCGCAAATCCGTGCGATCATTCAAATTGTGCCAAACTATGTATACCCCGGACAGTTGCCACCGGACAATCATATAGGTGTTTAATACAAGTTTATAACTTCCACGATAATGATTTAAATGATGGTAAAACTTATATAACCAGCGGTTTAATTGCTGGTAATTCCGGTGAAATTCGTGCAAATGATGATAAAACTGTGGACAGACTGTCGATCGTCAACACAGTATTTATGGCGCTATTGTTTTTGGCATTAATTTTTGCATTTGTGTTAATTTTGAGGTAAAGTTTGTTAAAATTTAATTATTTTTAATTCTGAAATGAGTTTTTAATTTTGTTTTGTATAACAAATTAGACTAAAACGAGATCTCATGAGATGTGCCCCAGAATTGAGATCAAATCCAAGAATGTGTTTGCGAGACATCGACGACAATGAAAACTGTAATTCATATCAGAATCTATTGGCCAATGAAAACACAGAAATTAGTACCAAGTTTTAGAGTCATTAATTAACAATTTTTGAATTCATTTTAAACATTAGTATTTTTGTGTTGAGAAAGATTAAAAGAGAATTTATGTCCGTTTATTTAATATTATCAATATTTTACTTGTGATCAATAATTCCTAAATCTATTTAACAAACCAAACATTTAATATCTACTGTAAATACAGTGAGATATAAATATAAATTACTAAATATCTGTTTTGTGTGTTTTTAATAAACCGTAGAATTGCTGTAAATGCCAGACATAAGCATAAAGTAAACAAATAAATATTTATATAACAAAATTACTGTAAAAATTAGTTATTTATTAAATTAGTTATAAAGTTGTTAATTAATAATATTGTAAAACCTGAATATAATGTATGTAAATTATTTATTAATATTTATATTGGTGATATTTGTTGCCAATGTGACCAACATTTTATGCACTATAACGGGTAAGTACAACATTAGAACCAAAATCATACCTAGGTTTTCATAATTAATAATGTTTATTAACAAAGAGTGCAATCAGACACTTACCAGCAATGAGGGCAGCATCGAAGTAAAGTTTCCTAGGGTCAACGACCAAGAGTGTCACTGGAGCATCCAGGTGTCTGACCACCAAGTGATCATGATCACAATTTTAAACATAACAACCACAAGGCTAGAAGACGAGTTAATTATTTATAGCGGACTCAATGATACGTATCCAGTTTTGCGACACTTGGTAAAAATGTCTCAATTTGGCCTGGATCAAATTTATCCAGCATTTTTATCGCCGGGAAACACACTGTTCATCAAATACTTGGTGCATTATCAACATCGTCCGCATAGCGTTATGTTTAACTATTCAGCGCAAAACAATAGTAAGAACAAATTTTGCCTAGTTAAAAATGTCTAATATTAATTCATTCTCACAAAAAATGTATATGTTGTTATATAATAAATCAGTAATCACATTTATTTCACAAAGCTGGTAGCTGTTTCGAAACATTCACAAACGACACTGGTAACATAAGCATTTTCAGTAATAAGCGTAACGAACCTAGGCCATATCCGTGCTATTGGCACATTCAGGTGGCCACTAATATGAGCGTGGGGTTTACATTTCGCAAGTCTAAGCTCAAATGGCCGTATGAACCAAGTATAAAGATTGTTGTATACGACGGGCCATCAATACACTACAGACAATTGTTTGCCTCTACACCAGCTTACCTTGATGATAGGAGCAAGTTCATATCATCGACCAATCAAATTTTAATTAAATTGGATAATTATGTGAAGCCACGGCCAATGAATATTGTTGATCACCCTGATATTAATTTTTATTATAAGGCTGTAAATTATGGTTGGTAAATATCATTATTATAGCAAACTTTAATTTTTTATAAAAATATTTAATAGGCTGTGGTCTGCTATTTAATGATACCGAGGGAGTCATACACAGCCCCGGGTATCCCATGAAATATCATGGTAACATACAATGCGAATGGACAGTACGGGTGCCGCATAATTGTGTGATTGCTGTGATATTTATTGACTTTCAAACCCATGAAAGCGATTATTTGAAAGTTACCTCCAATTCAGAGACCTATAAATATAGTGGTGTTAATAAACCATCAAATCTATTGACTTCGGGAAATACAATGGACTTAACATTTAAAACGGACGATATTATGGCTGATCGAGGTTTTAAAGTTGCCTACAAAGCCATAGCACTCGGTTTGTAGTTAATGTTTACCCATGATCAGGATTGCCATAAAATAGAGAGAGATTAATTTTATAATGACGTGGTTATTGAATCACCAAGTTAAATTGTCAACTATCATTCAAAATACTCGTTACTAATTATAAAGCAGAGTTTCCCCTTTTAGGAAAGTTTGTATGAATTGAATAATAAAACTTATATTTAAGTTCAACCCCCACTTTTAATATTAATGTATATTATATAATATATTATGAGTAGCACTTGAATAGAGTATGAATTACAAAGAAATTGTTTTATAAAATATGCCTCTAAGGCCTTAGTATAGCATCGATGCCCATGATCATGTTTGGTTGTATTTGTTTTAATTCATTTGTTGTTTGATTTGATTATTAGATCCAGAAATAGACTTTTTAATCTCTACGGACAGTGCGATACTGAGGGCTAATTCAAGCAAAATAAAAATAAAAGCAATGAATGGCAATGAAATGTCACAACTCATGGATTACGACTCAATCCGAGATCGGATGGTATGGTTTGATACCACGAAACATAAATTTATTGCCCAATCAGTGAGTGGTAAGCATGAGATAGATGTGGGCGATGGACAGCCCAACAGTTTGGCTATTGATTGGATCCATGATTTACTGTATTGGTTGGACAGTATAGATCGGACGATTAAAGCGCTTAGTTTTCGTGATTCAAAATCCGTTTACATTATTCATAAAATATATACTGAAAATCCCAGAGATCTAGTGTTAAACGCTATGACCGGTGCTCTGGTTTGGTCTAACGTTGGCTTTGAGGCCAATATAATGCAAACCCATTTGGATGGCAGTAACCGCACAGTAGTGTATGACTCGGGCCGACACGCCATGCATTTGACAGTAGATTACGATTCAAATCAATATTATTTTATCGACATAACTGACCATTCGCTGTATTCCATAGACTTTTGGGGCAAAAACGATACTTTTATTATAAAATTAGTGAAACTTTTTGACCCAATTATATCCAATCTTTAGGTATTCGGTAATAATCTATATTTCGCTCACGAGATGTTTGTGTTTCGGTTACCAGACATGGATTACCGCATAAAAAGAGCACAAATTATCTTTAATATACTTAAAAATCCCATTTCTTTAACTGACGATATATTTTTTGGTCAAAACACTACAATCAATATTAATTGGCAATCATTTAATACGGTTAAAATTGTCAACCCATCCCAACAACCAGATTTTAATAAAACCAAAAATGCATGCAATCATTCAAAGTGTCCCAAACTATGTCTACCCAGAGGTGGAGGCGGTGGACAGGCGTACACTTGTCTCACAACAGTTGATAAGAATTATAGAACCGAGATTAATAATCAATCAGTATTAACTGTATATAAATTTAATACAACACATATTAATGATGGTAAAAGTGAGATAAACAGCCAATTACTTAGCGATATTCATCGCGCTCTTGTATTACAAACTAATGTAACTAATCGTTTATTTGATGATAATTCCGGCACAACTTGTAATAATGATGGTAAAACTACTGAGAGATTATTACTCGTTATAATAATATTTATGGCTCTATTAATATTAGTTTTTGCATTTGTTCTTATTTTACGGTAAAACTATTTTAAAATTTATATTATTTTAAAATATTGATATAAACTCTTGTTTTGTAATCAATTTTAGGCCAAAACTGAATTTTAAGAAAAATATCCCACATTTGAGACCAAATTCAAGAATTGTTTTCCAAGACATCGAAATTAATGAAAACATTAATTCTTATCAGCAATTGTTGGCCAATGAAAACACTGAGATTAGTACCAACTTATGAGCAAATTTTGCTGTGATTATGGTATTTATTCATTAAATAACACAATATATACTTTATAAATAATTATTAAAGTCTCTTAAATACTCCATTAAATTAAAAACTTTTTATTGATATATGAAATTAATAATATTTATAAACTAAATTTAAAACTAAAAATAAACCAAAATTAAATGTAAAAATACATTAATTGTAAACATAAAGAAATAAAATCAATATTACAACAAATCTAACTTCAAAACTTTATTATGGGCGCCGACATAGTGTCAACCATTGACCCCTCGCCCACCTCTTGGCCACCACTACCTGTCAATAACTGTCACAACTATCACACCGACCGCCAACACAAACAGCGCTAAACAAGCTATTCATCGCCAATGAATACTTGTTATATCATAAGTTGTTTTTATAATTTTTAATCATTATATTTGAGAAAATTTTATTCAATTAAATTTTTTTATTTTGTTTATTCTACTCGTATTATACAAATATTTATATTATATTATCAATATTTTATTTTATTATCTAGATACTATATGATTATTTATATACTAGAGAGAGAGAGAGAGAGAGAGAGAGAGAGAGAGAGAGAGAGAGAGAGAGAGAGATTCTATTAATAATTATAAACTGTAAACCTACTGACAATAACAGACATAACACATACAATTTTGTCTTATTTAAATAAGGACAAAAATAAATATTAATTGTAATATTGTGTATTTAAAATGAATTATTTACTGTCATCTATATTAATAATCTGCTCAATCAATTTATCTCACATTTTATGCAATAAATATAACCGTTTTATTAAACCACATATAACGGGTAATTAATTTGTTTTTATTGATAAATTAACGTTTTATAAATTATGTACATTATTATTTAACATGAATTTAATTATGCTAATAAATATAGCCAACGGCTGCAACGAAACATTCACTAACCAAACCGGTGAAATAAACCTGATCAGTTTTGGGGGCAATGTGTCTACTTCATTACCATGCTATTGGCATATAGTTGTGGCTGAAAATATGACCGTCATGTTAAAATTTCGTAAGTCATTAAGTCAACTGACCAGATGTATTTAGTAATAGCGATTTTAGCATTAATTAATTTTGGGATACGTGCAATTCATATACAATTTAATTATAATGAAATAATTTGTCCTGGATGAACTAATTAAAATAATTTGATATAATCTATTTAACATTAGGCCAAATGTTTGGCGAACGTGAGGGTTGGGCCAGATTTTATAGTTACCACTTATATATGATTGTATTCGATGGCCAATTAACCGAGGTATGGGGTAATCGACTGGTCGACCCCTTAAATGGATTACCGCTTGATCATAATCGTAATATAGTATCATCGGGTAATCACGTGGTAATCAAAATTACTAAAAATGAACGTTATTGGGACCCTGATGGAGAACCTGATATTTATGTGAATTATTGGGCTGAACAGTATGGTTA